GAGGGTTTTTTATTTTTAGGTGAAGTCTTTGGCAAAAGCTGATTAGCAGAAGCTTCTTTTTAAGTCCACTTCAGTAAAAATATAGATAGGCTTGCAAAAAACTCGCTTCTGTCATTATATGTACTTCATGCTGCGTGCATAGTTAATTGGCATATAATAAAAGTGATTCAGGTTTGAAAGTTGCTTTGGTCACTGAAATAGAAATGAGGTGAAATCAATTCTTGCTGTTTTGTTTCAGTAAATTATTATCGAAAATACTTTGCTTGATCATTAATGTTATTTGCACAGGGGCGGGTTGACCTTTAGTTCATAGGTAAAGGATAATGGCTGTAATCACTTGGTAATTACCCCATTACTGACTGGTATTACACAATTCATTGTGGAGTCAGTAAACATTTGCATGATTGTTTTAGGTGAATTTGCATCATTAGTCTGTATTTCCCAAGTGGCAGCCTCGTGAAGGCTTTGGAGATGGGTATAGAAACTGTTGTACAGAATAGTCTTCTGCCAAAAAAAAACACTTGGTTTTGCCCTCTGTAGTGCTTGCCTTGAACTAGCTGGCTTGTTAAGGCTATACAAAGGTAACAACAAAATGCTCCCTGCCCAGAGACCTTTTGATCTAAGCCTACAAGGGAACAGGAAATTGAAATTCAGGTGTACTTCCACTTCCTTTGAAGCAGAACTTTTTATTTGTCAGCTACATTTCTGTAATTATTTTACATCATTATCCTGTAGTCTCATTCAAAGTTATACTAGAATAAAATCAGCTCTGTCCAGCTCCCTTCAAAATAAATGCTTTTTTTCAGTGGAGAGGACCCTTGGGAGTCAGGTGGAAGGCTTGTTATAGATCATGTAATGCTCCTTAATGTGTCTTAACAATGTTTCTTTTTCCTCCTAAAGGCATCGTTGGCTTCACTCGATGACGGATGACCCTCCAACTACTCATCCACCAGTTGCTCGTAAATTTATCTGGGAGAACCATAAATTCAATCTGAGTGGTACTCCCGGGCAGTATGTACCTTACTCTACTACTCGCAAGAAGATACACGAGTGGATCCCACCCACCACAGCCAGCAAATAACAGCAAAAAAAGGAAGTAATTTGCCTCAACTTTGGCTTTCAGTGTAAATTGTATCTCATTGGTTTTGTTTAAAATAAAAACCTCCTATAACTGCTGTGGTTTAGTTTATTGAGCTGGGGGGGGGAATCAAATGAGAAAACACCGGGAAGATGTAGAGGACAGAATACATGGCAAGTCTTAATTTCAACAAGATACTGGGCTTTTTGTCATATTATCAGTGGCTCTTGTCTTTACAAGTGGTTCTCAAACTTTTTTTAGCATGCTAATCATTCCTGTGGCAGTTTGTTCTCACCACTCAAAAGACTACAAATATAAATTTGAAATACATGATCTTAGCCTTATCCTATTACATTCTTTGCATGGCATATGATGTATAATTCCTGTACTATTTTAGGAAGCAGTCTGTTTAAATATTTGCAAGTCAAGTTAGATTAAGGCCAATCAAGGATTATGGTTTTTATTCATAAATTTCTTGCACATGGGTATGTGTTGCTGTATTTTAATATGGTGTGATAGGTAGTATAAAACATGCAAGGCTACAGTAATCAAATGATATCCTGTTCCCCAAGAAAAGAACCATAAGCAGGCACAAAAGCTGTTCCCTGCTTCTGTGCATCATCAATGACCACTCAGTGTACTGGTTTTAGACCCATGAGCGTTGTCAGTAGAAAACTTGGTTAAAATTGTCTGTCAGGTAGACTTGTAGGGGTGTTTAATTTCTTGTTGTATGGTGCCCAACCAGCAATCTTGCTGACTCAAGCAGGTACAAAGATTGGACCCTGTCACAAAGATTTTATTGGTTGCTTCTGTGCCATTGGGTTTCATTAGAAGGGTGTGGGATGGGATGTTTGTCCTGCTGTAACAGGACCTTAAAGGTCTGTGGAGGCTTAGGAGTACATACTGTGGGAGATTGAGAAGCAAAGTATACCAGAACCCATTCTCAAAAAAGTAAGTAATTTGCAACTTAAAGAGATATGGGACTGTGGCAAAAAATACATGTATATATCAAAACACCATCTTCCCTTCTGCCCCTGTTTCATAGGCTCAGCTTCACTCCTTCATTCCTCCACCATTTCCTGCCCCGAGGAACATCTGGGAATGCCTGGTTATGGTCATTTTGCAAGTTTGCATCTGACGATACCTTTTCCTCATGCTTTGCCCCGTGCTGTGTGGACTCTCCACAGGCTGCACAGGAATCTCCTCCAGTGTCTGGAGCACCTCCTCGCCTGCTTTCTGACCTTGCTCACATTGCTGCTTCTCGCTGTTTCTCCTCTCTCTCTGTAATGTGTTTTCCCTTTCTTTCCTGTGCTATCACTGAGGTGCCGCCATCTTAGCGCCTGGCCCTGCCCTGTGGTGGTGGCGGCAGGGCGTGGCCCTGGCCTCGCCTCACAGGGGAGCCCCTGTGGCCCCCTGACACCCAGCACGCTGACTTTTATTGCCTAACTGGTCTTTATTGAAACTGCTACTTCTGACAGTGGGAAATAGCACTTTGGGAGCTCCTAACGTAATTGAAAAGGGTAACATTTAATTTATGTTAAAAGCACAGAGCGCAACCGAAAAGCAGATCGTGCCATACTGAGCAGCATGTATAGGAAGGACTCGTTCAGTATTTCCACCTTGGGAAATCAGTTGACCTCAAGAACCAAATTTCTCCCAGAGTTGTTTAAGGACTTCATTACCAACATTCATCTCTGTTTGTCCTACAGGCACGTGCCTGGGTAGAGCAATTAACTCTTAATAGTTTTAGCCTCTACTCTTTTAATGTGTTTTTACCTATTTCATGCCTCTTCCTCTTGTGTGTGTGTTTTTGTTTTTGTTTTTTTTTCGATTGCAACCTCAACACATACCAGCACGTGCAGTTGGGAATATTTTCCTGCATTTAGGGAACAGACAGTAATGTAGTAGCTTTCTACAACTTCTCTTCTGAAGAGACAGGCTCAGAGGTGGTACACGTCTTTGCTGTCATCTGGGACTGAGATGTTGAGGGAGCGCAATTTTTATAGTTTGATGTGGCTTTGCGTGCAGAAATGCTCCAACAGAAAGGAACAGCAGGAAGACAGCTTTTCCTCCTGCCCCGTGGAGCTGAACCAAACCTAGGATTTGGCCGTTCAGTCTGGAAAACGCCATCAGTCACGTTTCTGGAGAGCACAGAAACCTGCTGGTCCTGTGTTAACCCACAGGGACCATACGTACAGGACTTCAGAAGCAGAATTTCACTGGTAGTGCCTGTAACATTGCTTCCTCAAGGGAGATTGCAGAAAATATGTACAGGAAACAGAGTGAACATATGAAGGAACAATAGCGGTCTTTCACAGGGCTGTCTGTAAACACTCCTGTGATTCAGCCCTTTTATCAGCAACCTCCTTCACTTGCGGAAGTTCACCTTTCCTGATGACATCTGTCTCAGTAGATGGAGGATGCTCACTCGCTTTCTGGTTTAAATGGTGTTTTAAATGCCAAGCTGGCTGAGTGCTGCAGCAGATGGTGTCTTCAGTCAAGTGCAACTGAGGCAATGACAGGAACATTCCCCTTACAATAAATGTGTCTTTAAAAGAGGCAACTTTCTGACACGCAAACCGTGTCCCATTAAGAAGACAAGTACTTCCTCCAGGAGCAGCAGTGCTGAAACTTGCTTTTATTTTGAAGCTGTGTCCTTACAAGTACCTTTGTGCGTCCCCACAGTCCTGGCCAGCCTCCCATGTGCCACGGCCAAGCCATCAGGTGCTGTATGCAGGACACCTGCCCTGTCCCCTCCACCGCGGTGACTCTGCCTGTGGAGTTACCCACAGCTCTGGCAGTGCAACAGGATAGGCCAGCACTGCCTTCCCATTAAAGAGTTGCTCCATCAACAGCATCCATCAGCAGCACACTGCTCACTGGGCCTCTGGATTTTCATCTAAAGGACCAAAAATAGCCCTGGCTGCGCAGGTTTGGAGAAGGTGGAGGTTGCCTTGCAGACAGAGGTCCTGTGCTGTAGGCAAGTACAACACTGCCCACTGCTCTCCTGGGACTTGATATGGGCTTTGATGCTGGAAGCAGCTAATGAATCTGCAGTAGCCCTGTTTGGCAAAATGTCTTCAATAGCAGGGAGGCTAGTGGCAGCTCAGGTGTCCAGATGTGCCTCAGCAAGTGCTTGGGGAAGGGAAGGGCTCTGCTGCTCAGCCCTGCTCAACCTGTGCAGGGGCTGGGGTCCCCGGGGGCCTTCCTGACGCCGCACAGCTGGCACCAGAGCCAGGTCTGGCCATGTCCTTCCCCTATGGTTTTGAGTTGCTTGAACCCACCTAATGTCATGGCCCAGAAAAATGGGTTTTGTAAATGCTCAGGAACACTTTTTGGCTTTGTTCACATGTGACAAATACCAAAGCATGTTTTGAGAAAAAGGCAGTATTTTTTAAAATGTATATATGAAATATATATATATATATATATACATATATATTTAAAGAGCCCTGTAAGACTTACATTTATATTTTCCTATATGAGTTTTACTAAGAGGTTTTGGTTCAGGATTTTCCTCCTATTAAATTTCAACAGACTAAAAAAAAAAATCAGAACACAGCTACAGGTGTGCTAAGCAATGTGTGTATACATAAATGTGCATAGATATATTTCTACTATTAAAAAATAATATCAAATTTAGTATAAAGATATTTAGTTGTAAATATGTATTACAAAGTTTCTAACGAAGCTAAACTTCATGAAATTATGAGCCTATGTAAAACAAGCTAAAAACTGATATTTAAATCAAAGCTTCTTGTGTGTAATTGAAAACATGAATCACTTAAATTTATAGAGTCATCTAAGTTGGAAAAGGCCTTTAAGATCATTGAGTCCAACAATCCACATAATACTAAAAGTCCACTGCTAACCCACGACCCTTAGTGCCAAATCCACACATCTCTTTGATACCTTCAGGCATGTTGACTCCCCCAATCCCCTGGGCAGCCCGTTTCATTGCTTGACCACCATCTCCGTGAAGAATTCCTCCTGATCTCTAAGCCTCCCTTGGTGCAACCTGAGGCCATTGCCTCGCAACCTATCACTTGCTACCTGTGATAAAAGCCCAACACCCTCACTGCCACATCCTTTCAGGTACCTGTAGACAGTGATGAGGTCTCCCCTCACCCTCCTTTTCTCCAGACTAAACCACCCCAGTTCCCTCATTATCCTGCACTACAAACCTGGTAAGGCAGAAGACATTGATGCTGAAATGAAAATTTTCTTTTGTGTTCATATGAGTGAAAATAAGGATTATGTGAAGCGCTTGCTAATTTTTTAAGTGGGTATTTAGATCAGGAGCAATGATTAAGGGGCAACTTCACACACTGTTTCTAAAATCCAAAATGTTTTAGAATTTGTTCTGATTAAGAAATATATGCAGCAAATTAAAATTTTAGGTGCTTATCTTTTACTTTATGTAAATTACCCACAAACAACTGCATTAAGTACTTAGTGTAATCTAATCTCTGTAATATCAACAGTGGATACAGAATCTATTGAAATGATCTGTAGTACCGTCAGCACCACTTAAGCAAATTGTAAATCAAGAGACTTCTGTTTTACATTGATTTATGTTGGTAGAATATTGTGCCTATTTGTTTCTCTTTGTCTGCAGGGTAATATATATTTTCTGTTCCTCTAATGGACTGCTTCATTTTTACCTATGATACATATTTTAAATATTAGTTTTAGATAAAGTGGTTGCGGGGCTGTTCTATTTCCTTCATAGCCCGAAGGATTTGTAGTTGATGGAACAGCAATCCATCAAAACACAGCCTGTATTTAACAGATGAAGTCTCATGTGGTTGAGCATTCAGACACAGGCCTATTAATAGTTTGTTTTTTGAGGGTAACCATCCATAAAAATTCAATGAGGCAAAACCAAATTCAGCAATATCTGTCTGTGTGGCGCTTCCCGCATGCCTTGCAGCAAAACAGTGTCCAGAGAAAGCAAGAAAACACTAATGTGTTTTAATTTGAGGCAGCTGTGTTAAAAAAGAAAAGAGCATTTGTTTACCCCGGGTATTTGGGAGTTCATGGGGCTGCTTAGCTTTTTTCTGTGGAAAGTAAAAAGTGCAAGGGTGGTAGAGGATGAGCCTCAGGTACATGTCACTTGTCCACAAAGCAACCGTGGTTGACACAAGCAGCAAGTTTCTTTTCTGTGGCACCTCTTGACTTGACCTTGAGCATCTCCAGCCTGAGCTCCAGGTCTCCCTGGGACCCAGCCAAGGGGTACTTTGGCCACTTGGCACAAAGCCACCCTGAGACAGAGCCCCCTCTGCCTCTGCTGGTCGAGGTCACCTCCAAACCTCAAAGTGAGCCTCATCAGTGCGGGTCTGAATAAGGTGCTGGATGCCAACAGCCCTCCTGGCCTTCTGCATATATCAGAACTTAATTTCTGGATGTCTGTGCCCAGAAAGTCCATTAACAACGTGAATCTATTCAGAAGAGCAATTCTGAAAATAGAAAATTCAACAAGGGAGTGGTGCTATCTCCAATGTCACGAGCGTGAGGTGACACCAAGAGCTCTGCCCGGCATCTGGGAGCCGTGGTGGCTTCAGAAGTCTCTCCAGCTGGAGCCTGGCCAGGCAGTCAGAAAACAATTTGCTCCATTCAAAAATTCTCTATTTGCTGTGAATAGCTATTAAAAGGGAGAAAAACCCACATCCACTAAAATAAGCCTGCTACAGATTGCCCAGAGGGAGCATATACATCGAGGGATAAAGTGATGTTTGTGTATTGAGATAGCAAGAAATTAAATCACAAAAAGTGAAGCAAGATTTCGATTTCTTACATTGGGGTGTGAAAAATTCAGAGCTTTTACACATTTAGAAGAGGAAGAGTAAGGGAAATATCTGGCTTTATTTCTGCTGCCTTAGAGAAAGCTTTCTGAGCTGACAGTCTTAGCCATGAGAGTTAAAGCCCTGACCTGGGAGATGCATAGGGAGGTGATACCAGCTCAGACACAGAGATGAGATAAAAGCCATGGGATGAGGGACAGGACCCAATATTAGGCTATCTGAAAGAGCTCAGCCTGAAGGTGCTCATACTATTTAAAAAACAAACCAAACCAAAACAAACCAAAACAAAACAAACAAACAAACAAACAAAACACCACTAACAACAAACTATCAGATTGAGAACTATTTGGCTTTCCTATAATTCTTGTTGTTTAGCTTGCATCCTCCTCCAGCAGGATCTGGTTTCATCGTTGTAAATGAGCAGTTTCAGTCTGGGGCTCTCCGGCCTGCTGTGCTGTTGCTGTAAATGCTATCAGGGAATGGTAATTTGGCTTTTATGATCTTCAGATGATTTCTGAGGGACTTCAAATGGTGAACTTCAAATGATTTCTGATGGATATTTTCTGATTATTTTTTCTTCAAAATAATGTCTTACCATCTGTTGGTCTTTGGGTTTTAAAGCGCGGTTTGGCCATTACAGTTTACATTTGAAAACCAGCAGCAGAGGCAAACGCATGCTGTCAGAACCACTTCAAACACTGAAAAAAAGAATCCATGCTTAATTTAGTTCTTCAGTCATTTCTGCTAATTGGTAGCAGCAAGACATAATTTGGCACTGGATGAATTCCTGCCCTTTTCAGCTCCGTGCTGTCCCACACATCACAAGCTCGCTTTGGCCAGTGCTGGGTGTGGGGCCGTGACTGCTGGCAGTGCCCCTATCACCCAACACAAACTGGTTCCAGAAAATGCACACGGAAACAGCCACGTCTCCCTCGTGGCCAAGCACAGACCGGATTCTCTAAATCCAAGCTGTGAGCGTAACTGTGTACCTACAAAAGCAGAGCGGTGCGCAGTAATTAATTTGCACTATAGCAGTTGTCAGATTACACTGAGTAAGCTTTTGTTTCTTCTAAAAGCCAAGCGGGATTTTACCTGTTTTTGTAGCTCCTATTAAGGGGATTGTAATTGCTGTTGGTACTGAGCAATAGGAGGACACAAGTCATAGGTGCCAGCGTGCCAGCCCAGGCCTGATTGCTGTGACGGGTCTTCTGCCCACTTGTCTAACTCCACACTGAGCAAAATGATGCACAGCTACTCGCGCCCTCATGTCACAACACGTAATCATACAGTATAATTAACTTCCTGCGCTGCAATTAACAAAATAGCATCTTGATACAGGAATACATCCAGGAAACAAACAACTTTTATCACCCACCATATGCTGCCTAGAGCCAGACATGTAAGAGCTGCTGCAGATTAGCAGTTGCACATTATAATTCCTATAGGTCTTTCAGGGAGGATGATGCTTCACAAGCATCTAGGCAATATTGTTCCTCAGGCAGCTTGCCAGTACTAACAGGGAGCTGTGAGTGAATTTGTGCCACCATCCTGCCCTCCTTTCTGCTGTTCCCTTTCTGCCCTTCCCCTGTGCCTCAATTACAAAAACATTTACAATTACAAACTCTCCTGGAAGAGACCGACCTCCTAAACAGAGATCAATAAACATGCATGCCTTTATGTACACAGGGAATGTGTGTGCTTATCCCCTGAGCTGCTTGAGCCTGTGATTGTCCTTTGGTAGCTATACGTTTCATCTACAGGGGATCCAGTCTCACCTCCAACATTGCCTGCATCTCCACTTCCCCACAAAAAACATGCCACAGTGGGTCAAGAGAGCTGAAGCCTGGGGGGAACATAAATGTTTTGCGCCTATGTTTCAGTGAAACCGTGAAGAGCACTGAAAAGCTTCTCAGTCGCTGTGCTGGATTGCTGGAGGAGTGGCTGAGAGCACTGCAGCCATGGCTGGTGGCCGCCAGGAGCAGCCTCTCGGTGCACCTTGTCCCCCAGCAGGACACACCGCGCCTGCAGGATGGCTGTAGCAGGCCGTGGGGGGCTGGCAGCACACACATTTGTGCTTGTAGTCACTTCTGAGAGGAAAGCAGGGGAAAACTACAGCTGTTTTCTTCCCTCAGAGCAGTAGATGAGCTGGTGTGCCAGTGCTCTGAGGTGGCTTTCTGCATCTTTCCAGCTTCCCTCCAGTTTCCTGCATGCTGTCGTCCTCCTGCCCTCCTGCTCAAGGCAGCTCCTCTGCCGTGCTGCCTCGCTGCACAGGCTGGAGGTCCGTGTGCTGCCTCAGAGCCAACTCCCCCTATCCACAGCCAAGGGCTTTCGTGCCACCCTTTGCTTCCCACATCAGACTCTGCCAGTGGCTGTGTGCCTTTTTTGTTTTGTTTGTTTAAACAAAGTGATCATTCAGTCTCTGCCCCTGGAAATGATTCACTTGCTTTATTTTCTCAGGGCTGTATGAAACGTCCCAGGTCTGACTGAAGCATACCTTCTTGCAGAGCATCCTGTCTTGCTCTACAGAACCATCTCTCCTTGGTGATGTGTTGTAATGACCAGTTGCCTGCACTGTTATAAAACTGGACTGAATTTCTAATTTAATTTGCCTGTGTCCAGCTTCCAGCCACTGGATCCTGTTGTTGTCTTTCTCCGCAAGCTGAGAGAAGTGATGACTGCCTAGCATTTTCTGCCTGGGAAAGCACTTGAATGCTGTAATCAAGTCACCTCTCACTTTTCTTGTTGACAAGCTGAACAGCTGGAACTCTACATCTGTGACTGAAAAGCAATTTTCCCTTGTCATTTTTGCGGTTCTCTACCCTCCCCAGTTTTTCATTAGCTTTTTCAGAATGAGGGTTATCTATCATACCAATCCTGCACACAAAGTGTAAAAAATCATCTTTCTTCTGATGCTTGATTTATTCCCTCATGTGCAGCAAGAAGTCAAGGACACATTAGCCCTTTTTTGCTGCAGGATTGTGCAGGGAGCTGTGTTTGGGTTACTCTTCCACCAAAACCCACTGTGCCGCTCCTGGAGTCACCACTTGCCAGTCCTCTGTTTTGCAGCACAGCCTGCACCCTCTCTAGAGGGACACGTTTACTTCTGACTGCTCAGAGATGGATATTCTGTGCACAGAATCCAGCTTACAGGGTATTTCAGACAGAGCCACCAGGTGGCTCATAAGAAACCTGTCCCTTTGGCTGTGGCTCTCTCCCTGCGCAATTACACTTCGAAGTCTGTCAGTTTGTCCACTTGTTTTGGAGCAGGGAAGCAGCTGTATGTTAGCTGTATGTTAGCAAACACTGAGAGTGAGGACACGATGGGATACCCTTGAGACACAGGGGGGAGAGCCAAATAGAAATTACATTCACAGGAGCTGCTGAACTAACCCATTCTTAAACCAAGTAAGTGCTTTCAGACGTGGTAGAGTGCTATCTTTCCATCAGGTTTCACACAGGACACAATTAAGCCCCCAGGTGCGTTACATCTCCATGTTTACCTGTACAAACCTGTAATCTGAAATGAGGAAATAAGACCTCTCTGGCAATTCTCAGTATGTCACAGCAAGACACTCTGTGCCTACCATCGGTGCTCTGAGTGCTGTCACCCCCTGTTGTCTCCACCGGGAAGTTTTTCCACACTCCTTGTCAGCCTTAGGGTGTATTTATGGTTGTCTATTTTATATATTAGCACAACAAAAATCATTTTCCAGTCTCCTTCAGTTTCCCCAATGCCTTCAAAATCAAGGCCACTGAAGAAGAAGGATCCTTTGCTAATTCTTTCACCACGCTCAGGGGTCACTTTGTAGTGTTCATCCCAAACATCCTCCTCAGTTACTGACAAAGAACAAGCTGCTCTCCCAGAGGTACCACAGGGCTGATGACACCTGTGGGGAAGAGCAGGCTATGGAGCAGCCTTCAGTTCCCCGCCCATTGCTGATGACTGTTAATACCTTCAGCTGATGATAACCCCCTCACAACTGTGGCAGTTCAGGTCTCCGGGTGCAGGGAGTGCCTGAGCCTGTTGCTACCACCTGCGGGGGGCAGAGAGACTGTGTGCGTGAGGTGTGAGCAGGTGGACGACCTGGTCTGCCTCATGGCAGAACTCAAGGAGGAGGTCAAGAGGTTGAGGGATATCAGGGAGTGTGAGCGGGAGATAGACTTGTGGAGCAACTCCCTGCAGGTCCTGAAGTACAGGTGCCGGGGTGAGACACCCCAAATGGGGGTGGACCCCCTGCCCTGTTGCTGTCAGGCAGAGGGAGGGGACCTAGGAGTTGAGGAGGAATGGAAACAGGTCCCTGCTCCACATTGCAGGTGATGCCCCCCCCCTACTGGCCCCCACCTTCCCAGGTGCCCCTACACAACAGGTTTGAGGCCCTGGAGCTTGAGAGACTGGTAGCTGAGGAAGAGGTGGAAAGTCTACCCAGGAGGATGCCTGGGGTGAGGAAGTCAACTCCATGCCTCAGGACTGCCTCCACCAGGACAGAAAGAAGGGTGATTGTTGTGGGCAACTCTCTTCTCAGGGGAACAGAGGGCCCTATTTGTCAGCCTAACCCTACCCGTAGGGAAGTCTGCTGCCTCCCTGGGGCCAGGGTCAGGGACGTTGCCAGAAAGCTTCCCAACCTGGTTTGCCCCTCTGACTATTATCCTCTTTTGATAGTCCAGGCTGGCAGTGATGACATTGAAGAGAGAAGCCTGAAGACCATCAAACGGGACTTTAGGGGACTGGGACGGTTAGTGGATGGAGCGGGAGTACAGTGGTGTTTTTGTCCATCCCTACAGTTGCAGGGAGGGGTACAGACAGGACACGGAAAGCCCACCTGATAAACACGTGGCTAGTGCCAACACAGAAATTTATTTTTTTTTGACCATGGGGAGCTTTACTTGGCACCCGGCCTGATGGCCACAGATGGGCCCATATCTCTAAGGGGAAAATGGATCCTAGGCCAGGAGCTGGCGGGGCTCATTGAGAGGGCTTTAAGCTAGGTAAGAAGGGGGACAGGGCTGAAACAAGGCTTGTTAGAGCTGTGCCAGGGGGAACAATGGCAAGGCTGGGAGAGAAGGCAATGGCCCAGCTGAAGTCCATCTACAGGAGGAGCTGGAAGCCATCGTGCGGCAGGCAGGCTATGACTTGGTTGCCATCACGGAAACGTGGTGGGACCACTCTCCTGACTGGAGTGCTGCAATGTCTGGCTATAGGCTCTTCAGAAGGGACAGGCAGCATGGAAGGGGTGGCTCAAGAAAGGCCCAAGAGCAACCTTATTGCTCTTCATAAGTACATTAAAGGAGGCTGTAGTGAGGTGGGGGTTGGTCTGTTCTCCCATGTGCCTGGTGACAGGACGAGGGGGAATGGGCTAAAGTTGCACCAGGGGTGTTTTAGGCTGGATATTAGGAAGAACTTCTTTATTGAGAGGGCTGTGAGGCATTGGAATGGGCTGCCCAGGGAAGTGGTGGAGTCACCATCCCTGGAGGTCTTTAAAAGACGTTTAGATGTTGAACTTAGTGATATGGTTTAGTGGAGGACTGGTTAGTGTTAGGTCAGAGGTTGGACTCGATGATCTTGAGGTCTCTTCCAACCTGGACAATTCTGTGGTTCTGAGTAGAGCCTGCCCCACGCTCAGATCAGCAGGGCTTGCCTTTCCAGGTGATGGCTGGGTGCCTGATGTGCTTCAGCTGTCGGTGCTGTGCTCGGCCTTGGTCTAAGCTTAGCCCCATCAGCAACACTTAGTCCCTGCTGACTTAAGAGCTCCGTCAGGTGTTCAGAGAGCAGTGCGACCTACAAGAGTGCACGTACCTTCTGAAACAGGCAGCACCCACAGGTAAAGGCATTGCCAGCCCCAGGCTTGTACCCCGTCCCTCTGAGCAGGGGGCTGACCTGCAGGGCCGGGAGTTGCCTGACTGAGCTGGCTTTGCTTCAGGCACCAGATCTGCGTACTGACGTGGGGTTTTGTGCACACCCTGCAGGCAGCGGGCTCCTAAGGAACAGTGGGAACTCCTGCTCTGCTGTTAGTCACTGAGTGTTCCCTCTTCTCTCTATTTCTACCAACACAAGAGCTATGCAGGGACCGTGTTCCCTGATCACCAGGGAGGACTGCGATCGCTCTGATCACCATCCATTTAAAAACAAACAGGAAATTAGAATTAAAATGGAATAACAAAAGATCAAAGCCAGGATTCTCATTAGGTTCTGTTTCCTGTGATATTTTCTGTATTTCACGTTTCATTCGAAAAGAGTTTTTTTTTCTCCTTTTGCGTATTTTATTTTTTTTGTGGTAATCTTTTTAGTAGGTTTACTTCTAACTGGCATCAGCGAAAACTTCAGGGGATTGCGGGTCTATTTTTTTCTGTGTTGCACGGCTGTAGCAAAGCCAGAGCGTAGGAAGCAGCGAATGCTAAAATTACACCTTGTTTGTATATTTAGCGAAAAATTACCCTGCAGGCTCCAGACACCCGGAGCGCTCTGCTGGGGAGCGTGAGCATTGCTTCTGTAGGCCTCCCTGTGCCCAGCCATCCCCAAAATGATGGGGGGGGGGTTGCACCCACTGTTTAGCATTTGGGGGGCTCTGCGAACACAGTGCTTTAAAGCTGTTTGTCAAAATTCCCTGCTGGGTGACACTACCAAGCCCTGTGTGTCTTATGCGGTGTGTTTGGCCACGCTGCCTCGGTGACACCAGCCCCGTGTCGGGCCTGTTACTCTAGGTGTGGGAGCTTCTGAAGGAAACCAGGCTACCCTTCTCCAGTTCTGTCTGACTAGGCTACACATTAGGAATTTTTTTTATCACCACCAGTGCTTCCTGAAACATTGGCTTCCTGACACACGTGCACCCCATGAAGAATTTGGTGCTGCGACAAGGCTGTTTTTGTTTGTTTGTTTTTGCTTTGAAGATACCATGGCTGCTGCTCATGGTTCCACAGAGAAAAGTATGCTGCCAAGCAGAAAGCGAGGTGTGAAGGTGCCAGGGATGCCTAGCCCCTGCAAGGTTTGTACACAGTAGCAGCTGGGTGAAGGAGAACTAATTAAATTAATTACTCCCTGTGCTTCTCTACAGCACTTCGGCAACAATGTTTGTGTTCACCTACATTTAACAGCTGACCTATGGAAAATAATAAACCAAATCATGAACCGAAAGGTTGCCTTACCATTACCATGCTGTCCAAGATCCCACCTATTTTTCCTATTTAGAAAGTACGGACCTTCTACAGCTTGACTGACTGCCACTGCAGTAAGCATGTGTCCTTTCCCTTCCCTTCTCCTTCCAGCCTACAAGAGTCAAATCAGTTTAATATGTGCTGCCACACAAGATTTATTTAAGTTTGTTCAAGAAAAGAAATCTTTGGGTATAGTAATTGCTAAAAACCAAGCAAACAAAAAATCCTATGTCAGAATACATTATATATTGAACTTGCAGTTCTAGCATTTGATTTGCCATTCAGCAGCCAAAATATATACAAACATCTGCTGTGATGTGAACTGATTTTTGTATGATGGGTTTTATGAAGGAGGAAACGTTATAGTACTTGCCTTCCTTGGCTAATTCAATGCAGCCATTCGTGGCTTTCTGTATTGCTCTGCACAGCCCAAATGCCACTCTTGACATTTGGGGTTGAGCTACAAGATAGGAAAATGCCAATTAATAAAAGTCATCTTTCCAGTGTCTCAGCTTTGAGTGCACTAGTTCTTGCGGTCTTCAAGCTGGTCACAGTTTACATTGCTCAGCTTTAAATGGAAATTATCTTGGTGAAAGCCTTTTTAAGTCTGAGAGATTCCATTTTTGTATTGAAATACCAGATGTCATCCTGAGATTTAATATATTTTTCCCTCTAATCTACAGCAGACAAACTGTTTGATCTGACACTGAATGCTGAAGTTATATTTTTTTTCCATGCTGTGTGCTAAAGATCACTTAAAAAACCTGTCAGTAAATGCCTGACAGCTTTATTTGTACTTGGTAATTAAGGGGCCCAATTTGATATCCAAATAGCTCTGGAAAATATTATGTTTTCTTTGTCAGATTTGTAATTTATACTCTCATTACTGCTATTGTTTAAAGTATTTTCTCCTCTGTTCTGCAGGAAGGGAAATGGCTCCAAATATTGGCTTGGGGTGGGCAGTTGAGTGGAGGGGATATTCACACTACCTATTTTAAGTAAATTTACCTAATTTGCCATTTAAAGAGCTTCCCTCTAGGCAAGGTAGAGGTAAACAACTTCTCAGCAGCTGAGCTAGACTCTGAGCATCTGTTGTGTGAATACCCTCCATAAGACACACAAACTGGGAAAAGCAGAGAAATACTTCTCGATTCAGCCTGACTTGCTATGTTCACAAGTCCCTGCTGCTAACAAAAGTAGGCTGTTGTTACAACTTCGAGGTGGAGCACGCTGCTTTGCATACACCAAGTTATCCCATACTTAGAGTTTTGTGCGGACGTACACACCTGTTCAGCTCTGTATCCTTTATCACTATTACCAAGAGAGGATCTGTTCCTCAGAATATCCTCCACGTAGTGAAGGTAATGGTAGTGGATTGTGAGGGAAGGCAGTGCAGGAATGTTTCTAAAACAGCATGTCTTCTACAGAGGCGGTGGAAAGCAACGTTGAGGAGGACATAAAGTAATTTCATGAGAGTCTAGTGCTGTATAACATAAGCTCAGGAAATTGTTTCAACGCATACTAAACTGTAAGTACTTTAAGCAAGTGCTTAAGGGACTCGAGTATATTATTAAATGCTTTCCTGAGTCAGAACCAGTGTCTTAGCATTTAAATAAAATTTAGAAATCTGTAAGCAGAGGCAGAATGCAAAATCCAAGTCAAAACTGAGCTTGATAAATGATGTGCAGCCCAGACAGGGCAGGGACTCTCAAATGTCAGTGTCAGTTAAGAGATGCAAAATATTCCTTGTTAGAGTGAGCAGAGCAGCAAACCTGACATGGGCTTGGACTTATTTTTACAGCAGTTGGGGGAGATCTACTTTATCTATAGAGTAAGCAAGGCCCAGTGTAAACATCTTTTTTATCTTTTAGAAAGTCTACAGGGTAGAATCAGAACAGCAATTACTGAAATTATTGCCAGTGCAGCTGATATGCGGAGTTCAACTAAATTACATTTCGATAAACTTGCAAACAGCAGGGTTAGCTACCCGCCACGTTGCTGGAGAAGAAGGTGCTGGAGAAAAGCACAAATTCTGGCTGAGCTTGTTTTCTTAGCCACTGGATAAAGTATTTCCATTAATTCTGATCTGTTCCACCTGCCTAGAATATTTTGTTTCTTTCAGTAGGTTTTTAGTCCTTGAGACTACCCAAGTGCCTTAAAATACTGGCTTATGTGGCTTTGTTGATCTGTATTTGCTTTAATAACAAATGCTGGATACTGGTACTAATGCTATCGCTGTAATAATTCTCATCTCAGGACTGGGTGATGATATTGAAATAGTGATATTGAATGTGTATCTTTATTATTATTCCTTTGTCTTCTGTTTGGGGGAAGTTATCCTTTTATATAATTTATCTTACATATCTAGATCTGTCTACCTATCTGTTTTTAAAAGTATATCAAAATAACAACACCATAACCAGTTATTTAGCTACAACCTTTTAATATCTGTTTCTACTAGTTGTATTTTAAATGTGATGCTTATTTCACAAAGCTGATCTCTTTCATCTTCCATTATTAGCTCAAATGAAAATATTCCCATGTAAAATTTTCTAATCCCTTGCAACTGTCTATGGAGGAAGAAAAGCAAGGGCAGATTCAAAATCTCTGCTGGACTGAAGCACTCAATTCCTGACTGTTAGGCAGTTGGCTAACTCATCTAATTCAAGTATGCAAAAGGGTGAGTAAGCAATAAACCATTTCAAATCAATCCATCTGGCAGTAGGTAAAATAGCTATAATGAACAACATGTTTACAGAGCACATTTCCTACTCAGTCTAGTCATTTGCAGGATTCAGGGCGCAGATGTCACAGGTTGTCTGAGAAGCATTAGATGCAAGGAGATGACTGCATGTGAAAGGGGAGTTTGAGGATAATTTATGGTGATGGATGTTTGCTGTTTATGCTCACTTCATTAGCTAAGTCAGTCTGGATAGCAGTCATGGGACTAGCTCTGCTTCCCCTACTGCTTGCTGATGGCCATTTGCTCCGGAGTTCATAGGTGAGTGCACACAAGCATATGTTTTTTGGATAGATGATTTGCTTTATGATGACTAAGGAATGCACATGGCATCTGTTCTGGAGTTGTTAGAAGTTGCCATGTCCTTTGGTACGGAAGTCAGGAAGAATATACTATCATATATCCCTCTTCTTCAGGCAGAGGAAAGGCACAATCTCTGAAGTTTCTGTCTAAAATAAAGCAATTACATTTCGACTTCAGATGCTCTAGGAACTAACAAGATCCTAAATCCACTCTTAACATGAGAAGCTTTGTATCTGCCTCAGCCAATGCTATCAGCTTAGTGTCTTGGCATTATGAATCTTTGGATTGCCTTAGGTGGGAACATGTGTTCATAAATAATAGCAGGATTTGGCTTTTTGTACATAAAATCATTAGGCAAATCAGTAGGAGCAGCAAAACCAACCAAATAGCTGTCTGAAAAGTGAGAACATGAAGTGCTGTATAATGAGCCTGAACACGAGACAGCTAAATTCACAGCGAGTTAAAAGTTGCATTGCAATTGTGGCAGAGTACTATTTACCAAGAATGAACTGGTTCTTTCCTCTTGTGAATGAGGAATACCACTAAATTTTACAGTCGTAATCAGATTCCTGGTGTAAGTACATATGGAAGCATTTATTGGGGCAGGAACAGTTATTTGATTAGCATCACGTACCTTCCAGATTTCTAGGAAGAAAGAAAGGGCACTGCAAACAAGTATATATTTGGAATTGTATCTCTTTATTATGAGTGACAGCTCCCAGGAAATCCTGCAAAGGACAGAACTGAACAGACAGCTCACTCAGGCTGCTTTGCACAGCTTGAAAAGTGCAAATAGCAAGAGCTGAGAATATTACAGTAAGATGAAATATTGTAAGTGACAAAGCAAGCCCCCTTAATAAATTCAATTTTCTGTTCCACCATTTAACACAGTCATCAAGGCACCTCTGCAGGTGTTGCCAGATAACCAGTACGCATCAGAAGGAGCTGAGGCTGCATGCCCATGGCACAAGCAGCTCAGTAGTAAAACCACTTTAAAAAACGTGCTCCCACTTCCTTCCCAGCCCTCCTTTCCCCACACTGGTTTTTCCTTCAGTTGTGCTGCACATAATTACATCAGCTTAACAAATTCAGCAAAAGAACTGAACTGACAAAATGCTCCGAGCTTAGGCACAATCCAAGTACTTACATTGGAAATACTTGTCCTTGAAAAGAAAATTAACTATCCTGCTATAATTGTCCTTTACCAAATAGCTTCTTTATTGTACCTGCATTTTTTAAGCTTGGATAGCTGAAATAGCAAGCGCTCTCATACTCCTAACTGAGAAACAGAGCTAATAAAACTGTGATGCATAGAAAAGGCCTCAAGACCTTCTTCTGTGTTTATTTTGAAACATCTCCATTCTCCTTGCTAGAGTGGTATGACTCACGCTCTGCAGTACTGGGCATCTCTTCATACCAAGGTGGGAAAGTGGTGAGGCAGCAGCCCTGGTTGGTCCTCAGCATGCTGGGCACTTGAGTGCTCCAAGCCCTCCTTAAGTTCTTCATGAGCACCCCCTCAGACTTCATGATATCCACACATTTTGGGCTGAAGTCTGCTCAAGAAACTCCTTGTGCTTCTCTGGCTATTTACGTCATGTGCATGAGCAAAGCTATTGCATCTCTCCTGTTCTTAGGGTTTGCACTTCCCACAGGGCAGAATTTCTTAATGTCTCTGCAGGATGGACCGAGCCCAGGATCTGCCCCCTGACTCTGAGTGATTACCGCATCGGACAGCACCCTGACTAGCATGAGACACTGAGGTGTTGCCATAACACAGACCATCACCAGTTTCCTGCTTTAAATCCTCCTATTGAATGAGGTTTGTCTAATTTTAAAAGGTTTAGTTGAATAATGCTTATATGAGACCTGAATGTAGGCTGATCTGTAACTGAATAATTTATGTCACTATAATTTCCTATCCACCTGTAAGAACCACAAAGCACAGATCATTCTTCTATACCTAGATAAGAAGAAAATAATTAGGGTGATACTCAAATTCTAGTTTGTATTTATAAATATGGTGTTATTTTATTTTTATCATGGATCTTATGAACACACTGTTACTTTCTTTCTCCTGTGGACTGTCTCAGTTTTAAATTGACAGCTCCTGGAGGAGAGAGACAGCGTGTGACATGTGAACAGAACCGGAGATTGATAAGGGTATGCATTCATTCATTATAATGACTAAGAAGGAATGAAGATTGACAGTTCCATCACTCATTAATAAAGATTTACTGTATTCTCATTCATGTATGTGTTAGTCAAATTCTAAAACATTTTAAAAAGATATTATTATTATTATTAAAGTTTGATTTAGTGCTTTCTCCTTACTTGACTGTAGAAAATTCTCTATCAATAAACAGAATTTTAATTAGTCTGAAAAATACCACAAAATTAATGATTTTTTTTTTTTTCATTTTTGGAAATGTCTTTTCTGTTACAGACTGATGCGTGGCAGGACTTAAATATTTGATTCCTGTAGTTTAACAGACTGCTAAACCTCAGCTGAGCCAGAGGACTAATGCACCATTCCAGACAAGGCAGGCACAGGCTAAGTTATGTTACTTTTAATTTGCCCTGGTCAGAGGTCTCAGACTCCCAGTGACTGAATTAAGACCTCAGTGACAGAGACTAATGACAGAGTGCACTGTGAGGGACTTGGCAGAACAGGGTGCAAGCCTTGCCTCACAGAGCATCTCTGTCCACAGCCCCCTTTTTAGGGGCTGCTGCTGGATCTCGGGCTGGTCACTGCTCCTGCGGGGCAGCTGTACACAGCGCAGCTCCCTGGGGGAAGCCAGCGGTGACCTTGTCTCCCATGGCATCCTTGGTTGGAGCCTGTGTAAGAGCAGCCTGGCCACCTTGCAGTGTGACGGGAAGCAGAGCTGCTGGCTCAGGGTACGTGGTGCCAGCTCAGGGAAAAGCTCATGGACATGTAAAAACAGTCTCAGTACAGACACGGGGTAAAGGAGGCAACCAGAGAACCATGTTAAATCTCATCCTGTTACAACTCTTCCTCTTCCAAATTCTTTGAGCACCTCTTCAAGCAAATGCTTTCTCTCCCAAGTTAAGACTCAGATTTGTACAATTCACGTTTTGAGCAGCTTCACACCCATTTGTTTCCTTGATTTCATTGCCAAATGGGATTGATGTGTCAGTTTGTGTTATTGTCTGTTCAGTGTTCTACAATAAGATGGCAATCTCCTTTCCCTAAAAAGACCTTCCTCCCCTCCCCTCCCTCCTCTCTCTCTCTCTCTTTTTTTTTTTTTTTTTTTTTTCCTTCTGGCAGTGAACAAGTCATGTTTTTTCACTGTTTGGCTGTGAAAATGACTATTCTCTGTTTCATGTTGACTGATTAGGTGAAGTGCAGATATAGACAATTTTTAATTTAAAAGAAAATATCCTCTTGGTTCAGCTGGTCGGGTGGAGAGAAGGTTTTGTTCCCATGGCAACATTTTGCATTTGAGCCTGCAGAAATGAAGCTGCCTAGAGGCATTTCAAACATGCTGCATCCAAAGAGCTGCTTGCACTCTACAACGTGTTTTCATTTTTGTGTATGACAATTGCTTAGCAAGCACCAGCGAAACAAAAGGAAAAATCTTTGCCTCCAAATACATTAAACTCGAGCTTGCTGATATGAGGTACGCAGCATCGTACTGATACGAGCATTGCTCCAACTGCTCCTGTAATACGCACACAGCGAAGCAACCCTGAAGCTTTACTAACAGCTGTCTGCACAGACGCCACAACTTCAGGTAAAAATCCGTCCAAAGCTCAGGTGTCACTTCCGTAAGAGTTCTTCTGCCACCTCCATCTGAGACAATGCTGAGCACGGCGTTGTGAAAACTGGTTTGGAGGGAACTGGCTATCAGGCTGGGAAACACAAACCCCATGCAGGAGGTTGTGTCTCAGAGACATGGGGCTGGAGCAGGGGAAGGGCTGTAAAATGCTTGCAGAACGGTGAGATGGGGTGGGAGCAAAAAGCCTTTCCTAGCACAGGGATCTGCCGAAGGAATACACCCGTGGAAAGAGTGGAGGACAAATCCAGTTTAGGTTCAGGTCTTTGCACTTCATACCATAAAATTTGACCATACAATAGCAGCGGATAAAGAAGAAGGACTTAGACTTCAGTGGTGACAGAGGAACAAGACAAGGAACAGATTTCACTTCAGGACGTTTGGTTTACTTGTAAAATACTGGGAAAGAAGGACAAGACACAAGAAATTCAAAGAAATCTTTAAGGGCAGTGGTGTACACTAGCCCTTCCTCTTTGGCTACTGTCTGCCTGTGTTTCACCAACCAAACCCTCCCACTCTGTACAAATCTTGTTGAGGCAGAACTGGAAAATTCCATGTTCTTGTCCAAGATTGAACAAGATTGTCTGGGAGGGACACAGACCAGTGACACAGAAGCACGTCAGCACAGAAGCACAGTAATTTTTTCCAGGAAAAAAATGATGGAAAGTCACCCAGGAGCACAGAACTGCAAATGAAATGCACACACAGAATCAATGTTATGGTATCTTATGAATTATATTGTTAATAGAAAGTGATACTTTCATGGGAAATTCACTCACCTTTTGTGTCTGTCTTTGGGCACCAATAAGCAAAGTAGTGACATTAACAATAGTGGTGTTATTGATAAATACTTTAGAGGGAACAGGTTGACAGAGCACTGAGGTGTCATAGCACCATTTGGTTGGTAACATAAAACTGTAAAATGCCCCCAGTATTAGGAGGCAGTAAATTGTTACCTAAAGCTTCTTGGGGGGAAGGAAATGAAAGCAGAGTGGTTTCGGAAGTTTTGTGGAAGGAAGACACCTCAAACCAGGAAAAGTGAGTGAGACAGAGGAAAGAAGACGAGAGACCAGCAAATTAGCATGGCATTATCAAACCAGGCTTGAAAGTAACAGTACAATATGAATTTTGGAGAAGGAAGTACCTCTGTGTAAAGAGAAACTGATCAGGGGTCTGTTTGTGGAGATCATGGACCAAACCCACCAAACCATGCTCTGCTTCGTGCCCAGACTTCCTCTGAAGAGGCCTCATACTGTATGAGCATGATAAATGGGCTAAAACTGTAGGAGAAAACTGGCACACGGGGTGACATAACGGGGAGTGTGCTGGGGAGGAACGCAGAGATAGCTTACAGTAACATGGGCAGGAGAAAGGGTGGGTGCCGAGAGCCATGCAGAGTCAGAACAACTGATGAAGATCACAAAAAAGAAGATAGTGATGGGATGAAAGAGTGGAAACATAAGCAGTGCTGAAGCCTTGAAATGATATTATCTCAGACAAGACAAGACAAGTCAGCAAAGGTAATTATTTACTGCTGGTTGGCCAGATGGTCCTGGAGTCGTATCAAGAATCCCTGCCCACCACATTTCTCTACAAGTCTGGAATCCAAACTTTTCATCTACCCTAAAATGCGTGCGTTTTCAAAATAAAAGGATGGACTCAAACTTCTATAGCTCCAGGCAAAAAAAAAAAAAAAGCAGAGGTCTACAGTGCAAGAAGGAGGCAGCAGTATTCCTGCTGTTATGAGAAGACAAATAAAAAACACCCCCTGAGGTGAGAGATCTAATACAGCTTTTGAAAGATATGGGTGCCAGATCTATCTCCAGGGCAAATGGCTCAGCTTTGCACTTTCAGAGGACAAAAGCTCTGGTCCTGAAGAGGGGAAACAGCTTTCCAACAACCTGTTGTTAGAGATCGGGAGCAGGCTGCTCTATGGAAACCCCTGGACAGGAGCCAGCATTCAATGGGTTTTGTCTCATCAGGGAGGTAGATTGCTATGAAACCTGTTCTAGGACACCGAACACATGGACGTTAAGCATTACAACACTCGTATCTTATGGTTCCAGCTGTCTTTTAAGTAGCCTCAGAGATCTCCTTCAGAAAGAAGTTATTCAAGAGTGTATGTCTGTTAATGAGTGTAACTACAGAGAAAACAACCCAAATACCCAGAATGGATTCCCAAATATCTATATGCCTATGGTCCAAAATGATTGCTGATGTTTTTACTCCTCTTGATTATCCAGTTTCATTTATAGGTAAACAAGTAACTTGATCAAGCTCACACAATCAGTCCTCATGTGAGAAGGACACTTGCACTTCAGTGAGAAAATGTCTGGAAGAAAGGAAAGCACAGAGCGGGATGGCAGCACATACACCGAGAGGGGTTTGTCCCTTGCTGTTTTACACTGGGCAGTGGATGAGAACAGTCAGTGACTGCAGCAGGTAGCGTTCTTGGTAATGCCACAGACTTTCGTAAATAATCATCATAAACTCTGCATGTATCTGCCAGCAAATACTCAGCCACTTAGGCTAGGCATCTCCCGTCCAACTACAAGTGTAAACGTAACGCTAGTTTGCTCCGCTTCTCTTTCATCCGGAGCACAGCCTGTAACTCCGACAGCGTGTACAGCTCTGGAGCCGGTCAGTTCTTGTGGGGTGAGGCTGCTTTGGGTGCGGGGAACCAGCACCAGCACCAGCACCAGCAGCACCGAGCCCTCAGCCCACACCCCCCGCCGGAGCCCCCTCAGCTGCAGCCTCCTCCGGCCCGAAGCACCCAGCCGGGACCGGGGGGGGGCTGCAGGGACCCCGGGGGGGGCTGAAGGGAACCCGGGGGGTGCTGAAGGGGCCGGGGTCTCCCCCCGCGGTGCCCGGGCTGTGGCTGGGGGCCGGGCGGGAGGGGCCATGAGGGTGGGCCCGGCCCCCTCACGGCCGCGCTGCCTCGTGCCGGCCGCGGCGCCGCCGCTCCGTGAGGGCGGGCAGCGAGCAGCGAGGGGCCGGGGGGCTCCGGGAGGGCTCCGGGGGGGCTCCGGGGGCAGCGCGGCGAGGGACGGGCAGCGCCCGGCGCCTCCCGGCCGGCATGCAGCGCAAGGTAAGCGCCCGGAGAGCCCCGCAGAGCCGCCGAGGGGGTCCCCAGAGCCGGGGGGCGCCGCCCCGAGGGGCCGCCAGGGGGCGCGGGGGGACGCGGCGGTGCCCTGAGGGGGCTGAGGGGGCTGAGGCGGGAGCGGTGCCCGCAGCCCCTCGGCTGAGCCCCGAGCTGTGAGGCACCAACGGCACTGGGGGGGTTGGGGGCGCTTCGCTGTGGCCGGGGGAAGAGCCCAGCGCCGAGCCCGGCGGCCAAAACCCAGCGCTGGGGAGCTCCTCACGGAGATAATCCCAGAGCAGAGCAGCGCGGTGCTGGTGCTGGTGCTGGTGCTGGTGGTGTGGCTGCTGCACGGCGTGGACAGGCTGGGGAAGGGGAAACTGATGGGTTCAGCACGGCGAGAAACCGGGAATGGGGGTTCGTGAGATGCTCCTTCCACGGCTCACCACACTGCGTTATCTGCTCGGAGTGCAGGGATCATCGGGATCTGGAATTATGGGCTCCGTAAAGGTCAAAATGACCTCAGGAGCCGTGGATATAAGCTATCCGAGCCCTGGTTCTTCTTCATGCTTAGTTCCTAGGCTGCCCGAGGGCTGATTCACAGCCTGAGGGTTGCCCTGCCCTGTGCCCTCCATACCCAGCCACCCGCCCGTCCCACAGCAACCTCCGGGTGAGCTCAGGGCCGCCTGTGCTGAATCCCTCTGCTCTGTCAGAAGTCGAGCGACACGAGAAGTTACGCTAAGCTAACTTTAGGTCAGAAGTGATAAAAATAGCAATCCCTAATTCTCTGGGGACACCTCAGGGCTAGTGAAGGCTGGACGAAGAATCTTCAAAGAGAGGGAGTCTGCTGAGAGGGCATCTCATAAGGGAGGGTGGAAAAAGCAGCAAGAAATTAGAAAAATTGCAGACCTCACTTTGGATCACAAGTGCCCAGATCCTGTTTTAGGCATCCAAACGGAGAACTTTCACTGGTTTGTGGATCAGGTCCTTGGCGTGTCTTGGTAAACCAGTAATGGTGTTGGCAGCCAACAGATAAAATTAATTTTGTGCCGTGGCTGAAGTGTGGAACCACAGTGTCACACTCCTTATTCTCTGCAGTTCCAGGAGGTTCTTTCATCTGTGGCATGGGGTCCCCGTTCTGCATTTACATCTGTCGGGAAGGGGAGGTAGAACAGGGAGAAGCCCTGGTTTTGTTGTTCCTCTGCTGCTTGGTGTTGTGGTAACAAGAGGAAGCCTCGCATTTGGGACCTCTCTGACTGCGCTGTCACTAAATGCACTCGGTGTTTCATTGATTGCTTCAAAAATAAATTAAGCTGGAGAGAACTGGGCCACTGAGTAACAAAGCTGAAATGCTTGCGCGGGGTTTAGTGCGGGTCGGCAGCTCAGCGTTAAATCCACGCTTTCTGTTTAGATCGAGTTCTCCACTGCCATCTGTGCTCATACAGGAGCAATAAATAGAAAAGTTTCAGACATCTCGTAAGCATAGTAAAAAAACACGATTCTGCCGAGGAAATAATACCCTTGCTCTTCCCTCTGGGGGTGTACCAAATTTCACCTGCAGCATGGAGCACGTGGACTCGGGATGGGTGGAGTCGGTGCCATCCTCGTGTGGTGTTGGAGCTGTTTGTGTGGTGACCTCTCTGTGGGGACTCCTGGGGTGAGCCAGTCTGCCTGGGGGCCTGCCTGCGCCCCGTGCTTCAGCCATGGCAGCAGGCAGGGGGGAGCCAAGCCCTGCAGCGTTGTGCTGAGACCTGGCCTCAAGGCTGAGGTGTGGTGCTGCGTGCAGCTGAGAGCTGTGCGGTGGGGGTGGGAGGACACCCTGGGGAAGGACAGGCAGTGGTGTGATGCTGTTAGTCTGCTGCTTTTAGGGCTTTCTGCTGAACCTGGAGCCTAGCCGAAGCAGCTCTTGCTGTGTGCTCCTGCTAGGGAGCAGCTGAGACCCCTCTGCCTGCTGCCAACCTCCTTCTGCACCTCCAGCTACACGAGCTCAACGTGTTCTCCGTGAAGGGAGTGCTTTCAAGATCCTCTGGGTGTGCGTGAGGTCAAGGTTTCCTAATTCTCCTAGCGTCTTATTTGAGGTGCTTTACAGGAGTCTCACCTTTCCAGAGAATGTCTCATGCATTGCCTCTGCACAGTCCCTTTTTAGACCTGAGAGACACGATGTACAGAGCTCCCAGGTCAGCGCTGCTTTTCCTCCCTCCTCAGGTGGACCAAAATAGTTAAAGATGCCGTAGGCATTTCCTCGTGCTTTCTTGCTTATACGAATACACATTTTTAAGAACTCCATTGCATAGCATCTAGGTGCAGCAGCAGGATTTATAGCTTAGGCTGGTCTACTTGCTTTCATTCCTAGCGGAAAGCCTGTTGCTTTTTCTCACATGTGCCCATCACTTTTCACTCAGTTCTGCATTAGTATGAAAATACCAATGCAAATACAAGCAGGAAGAAAATCCCCGAGGTTTTCTCCTGTTTTTACATACCTCCCCCTCCTCACTGTTCAAATAAAATAGATAAGTGCTCCTGTTAACAGAGACAAGCTGCTGTTAGACGGCGCAGGGAGGCGGTAACAGGTAGGAGAGGAGACAAAAGACTGCATTTCCAAGCAACTAATGGAAAACCAGTCCTTCAAACCTCAGCATTCTTACCTCTTTGAACTTGTTTCTCTTTTCAGCTCCTTTTACCAGATGTATGTGTCTTAATTTATCATATTAGGAGGTAATTTATTCAGCCTAGACAGTCTTTTACCAGATCACTGAAGTACATATTAGATATAAACTGCATTTGATGCTTTTATTCTGTTTGAATATCACCACTGTGTATCTTGTTCATTTTCACCAGGGAAAACGGAAGCCCAATTCACCTGTCAAATTCTGCTGGAGCTATTTTTTCAGGCATGATGTACCTACCACTGGAAATTAGTGGAAGTCTAACACATCAACACGAAATTAGTATTTAGAGACAGCAAAAGGAAGTCATTAGTGCAGTGAGAATATACTGAAAATACAAGCTGAATAAAACGTGTAATGAAGGTGAATGTGTCTGTTACTTTTGTTTTTATTAGGTGTAATTTAACATTCCTATTTTTTTTTTCTTTTTAGCCTCTGACTCTCAGCTATCAGTAGCTATGCTTGTAGGTGCAGATGAGGCGGGGAAGAGAACAGGCTGCTTGGTGATGCTCTGTTTAATTCCTCAGGCGTTTAGGAGGGATATACATATCTTGATAGGTACAGATCAGCACCGCATCTTGCTGTAAGTTTTAGTCACCGGATATTCGAGCAGAATGAAAGTCTTATTTTTATCCAAGTTGTCATTGTCTTTTCTCTACAACCTGTGCAAAGCTGTACATGCTGGAACAACTCGGGATAATGGGAGTGGGTGGCACTGGAGCTGTGCTGGGGAAAGAAGTGCCCTTTTGGTGCTTTTAGTTGCTGATTGTCTTCAGAGCACTGCCAGTCAGAAACTACACTTCAGGGTTGAGGTAATAACGAGGTTTTCCTTATTCAGCTATTTTGGAGGTTGTACTATGTTGGTTGCCCTCAGGGAATATAAAATACACTACCAGATATATCCATGACAACAGGTAACTTGCTTAAGCGTTAGATTTATCCCAGCTAACATGCAGGCTGGATAAGACACAGGGCATCCCAGGAGCACTGAGTAAATTCCTGCTCCAAGCACAGCAGTGAGGATTTCAGTACAGGTCTCCTGCCTTGCTGCTGGGGGAGACGGGACAAGTGGGCAATCTGAGATTTCCCCTGGAGCTCGGGCAGGCGTCACTGGGAGGGTTTCAGTGGATTTTGCCAATTCTGTCAGTGAAAACTTAGCTGCCTGGAGGAGTTTAAGTGCCTAAAAGACTGCAGGATTTCTGAGTGAGGATTTCAGTGGGACATTGGTGTTAATTTTGAAGGACTAAAGGTGAGAGGATCCCCTGCCTTTACCTCCAGTACCCCTGTTAGCTAAAGAGTTCAGCTTTCCCACCACTGCTTTTTTTTCTTCTTTTTTTTTTTTTTTTTTTTTTTCCCCATGGCTCAACTGATCAGCAGCTCTACCTCTCTACCAACAGTGAACATGATGCAAATATGGACATGTTTGCATGCATTAGGAAGTTCTTGCCCCAAAAAAGTAAAGGCTTGAAGCAGGAGCAAGGGAGTCAGGGGGATGAAGGTGGTGAAGCTGAGGCATCAGGTTCTGTGGCGGTGTGTGCTGTGGCGGGCAGCAGGTGACAGAAAGGCGACTCGTTCTGTGCTGCAACGTGAGGGGGGTGTTCGGAGGGTAGGTTGGTATTCCTGCCAGTGTCACAGACCTGAGGCTGGAGGTGTCGTTGTGGTGCACGTAAAAGTTGCTGGGCTGTATCAAAAATATCTACCATCTATTTGAAGTTCTTAATGTTATTTTCTTAAGATTCTAGAGTAAAATTCTTAAAAGTTGGGCAATAAGGAGCCACTGTCTGATGGAATGACAGTGAGGTTTATGTATTGTAATCCCCAAATTTGCTTTTGAAAATGAGATTTAAATGAGTGACGCTTACTGGCCATACTGTTATCTGCCACCTTGGTTGGGAAGCAGAGAGG